TGCCTAGTCTTTTCACATGGGTTCTGGAATTGATTCAGGTCTTCATGCTTTTGAGGCAAATGCCTTACTGACTGAGCTATCTCTCTAGCCCTAGAAGTCATTTTTGTAATCTAGTAATAAGCAGGGCATGGTGGCTCAGGTCTATAAATTCCAGTGCTTGGGAGACTGAGGCAGGAGAATTGATGAGAGTTCCAGGCCAGCTTGGGCTGCACTGTGAGACCCTGTCTTAATGCCCCCCCCCCAAAAAAACCCAAAAAACAAAAACAAAAAAAACACAACCAAAGTCTAGTCTGAAAAGTAATTCCAAACACAGTGAATGTAAACACAGAGACAGCGAAGTTTCTAAGCTTTTTCTTTTTTATTTATGCATATGAATGTTTTGGCTTCATGTATATAAGTGTATCCATGTCATGCAGAAGCCAGACAAGGGCATTGGATCCCCTGAAACTGTGAGCCACCTTGCAGGTGCTGGGAACCAAACCTGGGTCCTCTGCAAGAATAGCCAGTGAGATTGTACTGAGTACATCAATGGTATACATGCACACCTGTCTTTAGGGCTGCCCACTTGGAATTAGACAATCTCTCAGGGAGCTAGTCCCTGGAGGAAAACTGCCTCTAGCTCTTAATCTAGAGGTGGGGCCCCTTGAAATTCCCATCCACATTGGCATGACAATAGGTTTTCTCATAATGCAGCTTTGAACTCACTCTGTAGAGTAGGCTGACCTCGATCTCACAGAGATTCACCTGTCTCTGCCACCCAAGTGCTAGAATTAAACAACATGCCTGGCACTTAATGCCAGTCTCTTTAGGCTACTAAACTGTGGAGATTCCACGGGTGCAGCTTCCCTATCATGCCCTAGAACACATTATCTAGCAGCAGGCTTCCTGTTTCTCTGGCTTTTACATTCCTTCCACCCCTCTTCTGAGATGTTCCCTGAGCCTTAGGAGTAGAGGTTGCATTGTAGATGTGTCAGTTTGGACTAGGCACTCCCGTCACTTGTTCCCTGCATTTTGACCAGTTGTGGAACTTTTAATCCTCTCCATCCATTGCCTCTCTTTTTGAGACAGAGTCTCATTATGTAGCTCAAGTTGACCTCCATCTTGAGATGCTCCTGTCTCAGTTTCTGGAATGCTGTCTGGCTAGGCCTCTGTCTTCCCTCCTTCCCTCCCTCCTCCTTCCCTCTCTTCCTTCCTTCAGGGACAGGGTCTTATTCAGTATCCCAGGCTGTTCTGGAATTCACTGTGTAGACAGGGATGGCCTTGATCTTGCACCAACCTCCTGCTTCAGGCTGGGATTAGAGGTATGAGCCGCCACTTCCTGATTAAAGATTGCCCCCCCATACCTGCCTCCTAGTTCTTGAAATTGAACCTATATTCTCATGCATGCTAGGTAAGTGTGTACCACTGGGTGATATTCCCAACCCTGAAAGTTTTTGTTTTGTTTTGTTTTGGGGGTGAGGAATCTTTTTGAGACAGGGTCTCTCTGTAGACACAGCTGGCCTGGGACTTGCTATGTAGGCTGGGCTGACCTTGATCTCATAGAGATCCACCAGCCTCTGCCTTCCAAGTGCTGGGATTAAAGGTATATATCAGCACCCCTGGCTTTTTTTGTTTGTTGAGTAGATTAAAAAAAATTATATGTATGTGTATGTGTTTGTGTGTCTATATGCCATGTGAGTGCAGGTACCTGAGGAGGTCAGAAGAGGGCTTCAGATCCCTTGGATTTAGAGTCACAGGCTGCTTGATATGGGTGCTGGGAACCAAACTCAGGTCCTCTGGAAGAGCAGCAAATGCTCTTTAACTGCTGAGCCTTCAGGCATCTCTCCAGCCCCCACCTTTTTGATTTTTGAAGCAAGATCTGTTCCTTAGTTCAGACTGGTCTCAAATTCACAGCATGCTTCCTGTCTGCCTGGTGCTAGGATTACCAGTGTGAGCCACCATATGCAGCTCTAGTGTCCTGATTTTTCTGTCACTTTAGCTGTCCCGGGGTAAATGCTGAAAAGGTATAGTTGAGTTTATACATGGAAGGAAAGCTGGGCAAGAGGAGGAGAAGGTGGAGGGGAGAGGAGGAGAAGAAAGGAAAAGAAGGAGGAGGAGGATGGGGAATGAGGACCACTCCATAAACATAAAAAGTGATAGAAATCTTCACTGTGGTCGGGAAGTGACATTTACAGTCCCACCTGAGAAGTGGTTTCAGTGTCCTCCACCCCGTGTCCTGGTCCCCAAGTTCTCCTTACTATTTCCTCTGTCCTGGATCTTCTCTTTCTCCTTCTTCCCTGGCTCCTTCTGGTCAATCTTTTTGTTTTATTTATTGTTTGTTTGTGATAGGGTCTCACTATGTAGCTCTGGCCTGGCTGGAACTCATGGAGATCTGCCTGTCTCTATCTCCCCAGTACTGGGATTAAAGACATGTACCACCATGCCCAGCCCCCAATTTAAAAAAAAATCTACTTTATGCCCCAGCTTCTCCCGCACTCCTATCACTCTATGCAGCCTCCACATTTTTCTCAGGCTTGCTGACCAGTGTTGACAGGCTAGCCTGTCTCAGGATAACATGGAAGACTTACTAAACTCAGGTTGTGGGTCTCATCCCCAGTTTCTATTCTTGTTTGGGGGGTACTTAGGATTAAACCTAGAGCTTCCCACAACCTCTACCTCTTTTAAAACATTTTTTGTTATTAATTTTTTGTATTGATTTATTTACTAGTGTATTTGTATATGACATATACACCATGGTGCACCAGTGCAGGCCAGAAGACAACTTGCAAGAGTTGGTTCTCTCTACCACATGGGGTCCAGAGATTTAACTCAGATTGTTAGGCTTGGTGGCAAATGCCTTTACCTGCTGAGCCAGGCTCCTTATTTTGAGACAGGGTCTCACCAAGTTGCCCAGCTGGCCTTGAATTCCCTCTGTAGACCAGGTTGGACTTGAATTTGTGATTCTCCTGCATTAACTATCCAAGTAGTTGGCATTACAGACCTGTGCTACAAGGTTAGGCTAACAGGATGTGTTTTTAGGTGTGTTTGCTGAGTTTACTGATTTGATTCTTCTGTTGCTGTGATAAAACAGGCATCAAGGAGCTGGAGAGATGGCTCAGCAGTTAAGAGCACTGGCTGCTCCTGCAGAGGACTGAGGCTGGGGACCCATTTCAGTTCCTAGCATCCAGTCTGGTTTTGGAGGCACGAAAGCTACAAGGGTCATGGAGAGAACTTGAGGCTTGGTACCATGAGAGGCCAGGAGATGCCATTGGTGAAGGTGGAACCTCGGTTGTAACAGAAATCCTAGGATTGAAGACGTTATGGAGAGAATCTAAGGCTTGGCACTATGTGAGGCCAACAGAGACCACCTGTGAACGTGCAACTGTAGTTGCAGTGAAGACCCCAGGATATAGTGCAGATGCCAGGACTAGGACCAGGACATGACCACCAAGGGCTGCGACAGATGAGGAGCTGAACTGGCCTGAGCCTAGGAAACAAGCTGCATGTGCAGAGCTGGATGGCAGAGAAGTGGAGCTGCTCAAGCCCTTTGTAGCCTAAAAAGTCATGAGTGTGTCCCAGGTGTTTGACACTGAGCTACACTGCTGGACTTTGGTTTTAAGTGTGTCCAATTCTTCCCATAAGACAGTATGTAATTTATTTGGATTTATTTATTTATTTATTTATTTATTTATTATTTTCTGGTCTTTTTGAGACAGGGTCTCCCTGTACTCCCCAGCTATCCTGGAACTCACTATATAGACCAAGCAGCCCTTGAACTCACAGAGATCTGCCTGCCTCTGCCTCCCAAGTGCTGAGATTAAAGACGTGTGCCACCACTCCCGGCTATTTATTTATTTTTATTTCTTTATTTATTTTTTCTTCTTGAGACAAGGTTTCCTTGTAGCACTAGCTGGCCTGGAACTCACTATGTAGATCAGGCTGGCCTCGATCTCAGAGATCTGCCTGCCTCTGCCTCCCAAGTGCTGGGGTTAAAGTCATGTCCCACCACACCTGGCTTTTATTTTTATTTTTATTAAAATATTTGATTGTTTTTATTTTTTAAATATTTTTTTTTATTTGATGTGTATGAGTGTTATGCTTGCATGTAGGTAAGTGCACCTGTGTTGTGCAATGCCCGAGGAGGGCAGGAGAGGCTGTCATCTGATCTGGGCAGTTGTTGGTTGCCATGTAGTTTCTGGGATTTGAATCTGGGTCTTCTGCAAGAACAACCAGTGTTCTTATCTGCTGAGTGATCCCTCCAGCCCCGATTATTTTTATTTTATGTGTATGAGTGTATTGTCCGCATGTCTATAAGTGTACTTGTGTCCTGCAATGCAATGGTCATATTATTCTTAGGACTTAGCTCTCTATTGCATTCAAGGAGGTAAGGTAAATCTCAGGCACCTCCGTGCCTTTACCAACCTTGCTTCTCTGGATCCTTTAGTGCTTGGCCTCTCTATCAGTGCACACACTTTGCTGTGTCCCTTGGAGCAGGGCAAGCACTGCTAATGCTCAATAGGTTTTGTTAAATGAATGTACCATGACAATAATTTTCAAGTTTTTATTTACTGATTAATGCTGGCAATGGAATCCAGTGCCTTGAGCATAGACAGATGCTTCACCTCAGACTACACCCCATTTTTAAATTAAAAAAATTTTTTTTTAATTTAAGAGGACTTTTTCTTGGAGTATAAATTGTCAGGTTACATTTTGAGGGGGAAAAAAATGTGGCTTCTATACTGCCCCCTCGTGGTGGCTCAGCACCTTTACACGAGGTACAAAATGAAATATTTCTGGAAACCCGAGGCTGGAAACGAACCTTCATTTACATGCTCACATTGCATAGCGATCGCTGTTAAAATCTGTAGCTCCTTCTTTCTAACTCTATTCCTTCAAGATGTGCAGATTTCAGAGAACTATCTCAGACCAAGGCAGAAGTCATTATCGAGTTCGAGTAATAGTCACCATTGGCGAGATAGGACGTACAGCCACATGAGGGCCATGTGCAAGGTTAGCCTTCCATACTCTGGTTTCTCTTCAGATCGTACAAATCTTTCGCCTTTTACTAAAGATTTCCGTGGAGAGGAACAACTCTGAGTCTTGACCAAATTTTTCTAAAGCCTTGCAGATAGCAAGGTTAATAGTTCTGGTTGAAAATAAAGCTGAATGGTTTTATTGGTTGTTCAGTACTTTCCTGGGGGTTGCTCTTCCTGATTGGTTTCTTGTTTTACAAGTGCCCAAACTCTACTCAGATTGTATTGTATAGCTCTTAGAAACAAAGTTCATCCACATTTTGGGTCTTTCTGAGACAGAGATTGTCTGTAGCCCCAGCTGGCTTGGAACTCCTGGAAATCTGCCTGTCTCTGCTGTTACCCTATTTTTGTTTAGGGCTTGAATAACTATTTTCCCCCTTTTTAAAAAATGTGGTGTGTGTGTGTGTGTGTTTGTAGAGGACTACCATGACTGTCAGATGTCATTCCTCCTGCCTTATTTTTCTTTTACATTAATTTTATTACATCTACTTATTGTGTGTGTGTGTGTGTGTAGGTACACGTGGGTGCCTGGATTTTTAAAGACATCACCTGAGATGGATCAGTTGGTAAAGGTGCTTGCTGACAAGTTTGATGACCTGAGTTCTATCCCTCCATCCCACATGGTGAAAGGTGAGACTTCCAAATAGATACTATAGCTGGGCATGGTGGTGCACGCCTTTAATCCCAGCACTCGGGAGGCAGAGGCAGGCAGATCTCTGTGAGTTCAAGGCCAGCCTGGTCTACATAGTGAGTTCCAGGACAGCTGGGGCTACAGGGAGACCTGTCTCAAAAAAAGACCAAAAAAAAACACAAAACCCCAAAACAAAACAAAAACCAAATAGGTACTATATATAGCATGTGTGTGCATGTGTTTGCACACACAGAGTAAATAAATGAATGTGGAAAACAAACAAGGGCTGGGCGTGGTGGCACATGCCTTTAGTCTCAGCACTGGGGAGGCAGAGATTTTTTTGTAAATCCTGAAATTGGTTTTAACCAATTAACTTTTTAAATGCTTATGTGAAACCCTCCTCTGTGGCCCCCTGCCCTGGACTCCTGAGACCCCTACCCCTCTTTAGGAATAATGGCTCTTTCTCGCTTCTGTAAACTGCTTGATTGCTAGGCTGAGAGGACAAACTGCACTGACCCATTTTGACTAGTTGCTTCAGGCAAGCCTGGACCTGTCCAGGCATGTTGCTATAGATCAAGCAGGCCCAGGCATATAGCAGCCTTATAAGGTAAGAACAGAGACTTCTGGCCTCACAGATAACAGTCAGCACATTCCATAGCTCTGAGGGTAGCACCCGCCAATGAGAAACCCCCAGGACTGCATCCCTTGTAACCAATCAATTCAAAAGTGTGTTGGCACGGGCTCCTCGGACCAATCAAGATGTAACTCTGTTATTCCCCTCCTGCTTGGTCTAAAACCTATAAAAGGCTTCCTCCCCCTGCTCTCAGAACAGACCCATTATGTTGGTGAGGTCTGAGAGCCTGAGCTTAAGCCCGAGAATAAAGACTCTTTGTTCTTGCATGCCCTCTGGATTCTGTGGTTATTCTTGGGGGTCCGTTTGTTGTACCCCATCCACTGGACCCAAAAAGACCACTGAGGACCCAACACACCAAAATGCAAAAGCAAAGGTTTATGGTTTATTTGGGCTTAAGCTCGGGCTCTCAGACCTCACCAACTCAATGGATCCGTGCTGAGAGCCCAGAGTAAGGGAGAGTGGAGCCTTTTATAGGTTTTAGACAAAGGGGGGGGGGATACCGAAGATACATTTTGGTTGGTTCAAGGAGCCCGCACGTGCCAACATAATTTTAAACTGATTGGATGTATAAGATGCAGCCCTGGAAGTTTCTTATTGGTAGGTGCTATTCTCAGGGCTGTGGAATGTGCTGTTACCTGTGGGGCCAGGAGTCTCTGTTTTTACCTTATAGGGCAGTTTTTATGCTTGGGCTTGCTTAATCTATAGTTTCCTGGAAGGGGGGTGGGGAATAGCAGGCGGGGGTCAGGGCATGCCAGGGTATGTCTAGGCATGTCTAAAGCAGCAGCCAAGCATTTTACAGAAGCTAAAAGAGCAATTAGTGGGGGTCTGGAGGGATTGGGGGGTAGCGGGTGAATGAAGAGGGTCTCAGGGTTCTACACGTTCTCTGGGCACAACATTTGGGGGCTTGTCCTGGATCCTCAAGACCCCACCCCATGGGACCCCAGAGCGCTGAGTCTGCCTGATCCGATCGGTGAGTGTCTCTTGTCCTTTGTCTTTTGTATTTGCGCGTGTCTGATTTTTGGGCCCAGTTTGAGATTGCCTGTTGGAGGTCTAGGCGGTCGTGCTGTAAGGCCCCCAGGCCGTGGGACTCAGGAGATGTCCCGGACCCACCTGGTGGGGATTGGATCCCCTTGGTAAATTTGGAAGAACGGAGTGGGTTGCGCCCACCAGGGGGCGAGAGGCCACCGTCCTATTTTCAGTTTAAGGCACCAACTAACCATGTGTTGTTTTTCTGTGTGTTTGTGCTTTTTGTTGTGTTTGTGACTCTTACTGCGTTAGAAGAGATGGGACAGAACCAAGTAACTCCTCTTAGCCTTTTCCAGGATCACTTCTTGGAGTTCAAAGCCCAGGCTGATAGCCTGGGGTTAAGAGTAAAGAAAGGGAAGCTTTTTATGTTTTGCAGGAATGAATGGCCGACCTTTGGGGCCAGTTGGTCTGAAGAGGGGACATTCGACCTGCCCACCATCTACAGAGTAAAGGATATAATTTATGGCCAGCCAGGCCACCCTGACCAGGTTCCTTACATCATGACCTGGCAGGTTATGGTGGAGGAGCCTCCAAAATGGCTAAAGCCATTCCTTCCTCCTTCCCCCACTGGCTCAAAGCCAACTGTCTTCACCCTATGTGAGGATGAGCAGAAGAGAAATGAAATGAAACCATCTGCACCCCTCTACACTGTCTTGCAGGGAGGTACAGGGGAAGAACTCCTGCTTGAGCCAACCCCCCCATTAGCCTGTTCTGCAAGCAGAACTCCAGGATGCTCCGGGAGAGGCAGCCCCAACCCGGGAGGTGGAAGGACACCTTCCCCAGACATGGAGGAGTGTCCAAAGGGGGCAGCCACAGCTGGTAGCGGACTCTACTGCCCTCAAGAGAGTCCTGAGGACAAGCAGGCCTGGGTCGCTGCCGCTGCCAGTGCCATGCAGACCCGCGACTTTGCCAAGATCCTCCTGGCCACATTGACCAGGTCCCCAGGTGAAAGAGAATGCCAGCTGCAATGCCTATCTGCTGAACAAGGTAGGAGATGCCCAGAAGGGCAACCAAAATTGTTGAAAAACCAATGCGCCTATTGTAAGAAAATGGGCCACTGGAAGAAGGAATGTCCAGAAAGAGTGGCCAGGCAGGAGCAGATCCATGAAGAAACACGAGTCCTGGAGCTTGGGGAATGGAATGAATAGGGAGGACGGGGTTTGGATCCCCTCCCTGAGCCCAGGGTAACTCTTAGAGTAAAGGGGACACCTGTGAGCTTCCATGTAGACACAGGTGCTCAACATTCAGTGTTAACAGAGACCCTAGGGAAATTGTCAAACAAAAGGTCTTGGGTACAGGGAGCGACTGGCATGAACCAATATTCATGGACCACCCAAAGGAAAGTGGACTTAGGCATGGGCCGGGTGTCCCACTCCTTCCTAGTCATGCCAGATTGCCCCTACCCACTCTTAGGTAGAGACTTGCTTACCAAAATTGGAGCCCACATCCATTTTTCACCTAATGGGGCTTATTTAATGGATTGGGGGGGCCTCCCCATTCAGGTATTTACCCTACAGTTGGAAGATGAATTCCACTTGCATCAGGGACTTGCTCTGTGGCTGGAAGAGGAGGTTTCTCTCTGGCTGTGGGAGTTCCCCTTGGCATGTGCCGAGACTGGGGGCGTAGGACTAGCAGCCCACTGGCCTCCTGTCTGGGTAGAGCTGAAACTGGGACTATTTCTGGCTCAGGCGAAGCAGTATCCCAAGTCCCATGAAGCCAGATCAGGGATTACCCCACACATCCAGAGGCTAAGAGACCAGGGCATCCTAGTACTCTGCAGGTCTGCATGGAATACACCTCTCCTTCCAGTAAAGAAGTCAAATTCAAACGATTACCGGCCAGTACAGGATCTGAGAGAAGTAAATAAGCGGGTCATGGATATCCATCCCATGGTGCCCAATCCCTATACCCTCCTGAGCTCCTTGCCGCCCTCCAGGAGCTGGTATACTGTACTAGATTTAAAAGATGCCTTCTTTAGCCTGCCCTTAGCCAAGGACAGTCAGCCATTCTCTGCAGCAAGGAACTAGGGATTTGCTGGAGACTCTGGGCAGGCTTGGATATTGGGCATCTGCTAAGAAGGCACAAATGTGTCATTGAGAAGTGATTTATCTAGGGTACATTCTAAAGGAAGGACAAAGATGGCTCACAGATGCCAGGAAAGAAACAGTGCTGAAAATTCTGGTCCCCAACTCCCAGAGAGCAGTGAGGGAGTTTCTGGGATCAGCAGGGTTTTGCCGCCTCTGGATCCCGGGGTTTGCTGAATTGGCTAAGCCTCTCTATGAGGCTACAAAAGAGAATGAGACCTTCATTTGGATGGGGGAAAGAGAAAGGGCCTTTAATGAAATTAAGCAAGCCCTCCTGACAGCTCTGGCCTTCGGGCTTCCCAATGTCACCAAGCCTTTCCACCTCTACATAGATGAAAAGAAAGGGCTAGCCAAAGGAGTTCTGACTCAAACGTTAGGACCCTGGAATAGACCAGTGGCAATCTTGTCTAGAAACTTGATCCAGTAGCCACAGGATGGCCACCATGTCTGCAGATTATAACTGCTACTGCCCTTCTAGTCAAGGATGCGGATAAATTGACATTAGTGAAAGAACTGCACATGACCACTCCTCATGCTATTGAAGGAGTTCTTAAGCAGCCACCAGACCGCTGGTTGAGCAACGCCCGAATAACCCATTATCAGAGCTTACTTCTTAACCCTCCGAAAATTCGGTTCCTCCCAAGCACCGCCCTTAATCCAGCCACCCTGCTGCCCAACCCCGACTTGGACGCACCCCTGCACGATTGCGTGGGGATCCTGAGCCAGGTACA